GGGGGGGGAGGGGTGTGAGTGAAGGGGGAGATGGAAACGCATGGCACCCCTTTATCCCCTCATTCCCCTACCACACAGGTCCACACTCAGACCTACACAAAAAAAAAAAATGTTTATGTGTACGTGCCTGTATGCACATACGCAGGCGCCCGCCCCTCACACCGCACACTCTCATGACGCGAATATTCAGCCGCTGACTCCATCACTCAATGAGGTTCATGAGGATGCCACCGAGCTTCGACTGAAAGACTGGAGAGAAGACAACGGATATGATCGCCATGAGCTTGATTAGAATATTCAGCGCAGGGCCGGAGGTGTCCTTCAGTGGGTCACCAACTGTGTCACCAATGACGGCAGCTGCGTGCTGAGGCGAGCCCTTGCCCTTGTTCTTGTCGCGCAGTCCGCCCTTCTCGATGTACTTCTTCGCGTTGTCCCAGGCGCCGCCGGTGTTGGAGGCGGAGATGGCCACCTGCACACCCGACACGATCGCGCCCGGGAGCAGCCCCGCAAGGGTGTAGCGGCCGAACAGCACGCCGATGAGGATTGGTGTCAGCATGACAAGGCAGGCGGGTGCCACCATCTGCTGCAGCGCCGCCTCCGTTGCGATGGCGACGCAGCTCTGGTAGTCGGGCTCCTTCGTGCCCTCCGCCACCGCGGGGTCCTGGAACTGGCGGCGGATCTCGCTCACCATGTCCATCGCCGCGGTGCCTACCGCCTTCATCGTGAGCGAGGAGAACCAGTATGGCAGCATCGCACCAAAGAGCAGCCCCGGCATTACGCGCGCGTCGAGCATGTTCACCGACGGAATGCCGACACGTGATAGGTAGGCACCGTACAGGGCGAGTGCCACAAACGCAGCGGAGCCGATGGCGAAGCCTTTGCCGATAGCCGCTGTCGTGTTCCCAGCAGCGTCGAGGGCATCGGTGATTTCACGGATCTCGTGGCCCATGTGTGCCATCTCCGCAATGCCACCGGCGTTGTCGGAGATGGGCCCGTACGCGTCAATGGTGAGTGCGATCGACATGGTGGAAAGGATGCCAAGCGCAGCGAGTGCGTAGCCGTAGAGATCAGCCATGCGGTACGAGGTGTAGATGGTGATTGCCATCGCCACTATGGGCGGTAGCACGGAGATGTAGCCGAGCGAAAGGCCGTAGATGATGTTTGTCGCAGCTCCCGTCTCGCACGCCTCGGCGATCTCCTGCACGGGGCGATACGCGTTGGAGGTGAAGTACTCCGTCGTGTAGCCAATGATGAGGCCGGACCACAGGCCGCACAGCACGCAGACGAGCGCGCGCCACTTGGTGGAGGCGGTTGTGCCGATCGTGAACTCATTCGGCAGCGCAATGTCGGTAAGGAAGACGAGCACAATGGTGGCACAGATCGTGGAGAGCAGCAGTTGCCGCTTCAGTGTGGGTTCGATATCCTCGGCGCGCTGCACACCGCTGTTGGTGGCCACAATGAGGGCAGTGCCGATGCAGACGAGGATGCCGGCAGCCGTGATGAGCAGCGGGTACATCATCGACGTGAAGCTGCCCGTCAGTTCCGCGGAGCCGGAGGCGATCACGAGCGCCGCACACGACGCCTCACCAAAGCTTCCGAAGAGGTCCGACCCCATTCCCGCGATGTCGCCCACGTTGTCGCCGATGCAGTCGGCAATCACGCCGGGGTTACGCGCGTCGTCCTCGGGGATGTTCTTCTCCACCTTCCCGACGAGATCGGCGCCGACGTCGGCGGCTTTGGTGTAGATGCCGCCGCCCACACGTCCGAAGCACGCGACGGCAGATCCGCCGAGGCCGAAGGCGGCGACGCACTCGTACAGCTCTGGCATGTTCTCCGGCAGCTCGCCGAAGTACGCCTGCGCCACCTTCACCGTCGCGAAGAGCGAGAAGAGGCCGACGGAGGTGAGCGCGAAGCCCATCGTGATGCCGCCCCGAAATGCCGTCTGGAAAGCCATCGCGTAGCCGCGCGACTGGTCGCCCTCGTCGCAACCCTCCGTTGCCATAACGGCGGTGCGGGCGTTGGTGTACACCGCAATGCGCATGCCGATCCACCCCGCCCCGACGGACGTGAGGGCGCCGGTGAAGAACGCGAAGAGCGAAAGTCCCGCGTTCACCCACGGCGCTGCTGCTGGCACGCCGCCATCCTGTGGCGACGAGAGTGCGACGCCGAGGAGGAAGAAGATGAGGGAGCCAAAGGCCGCCATGAAGAGTCCCATGTAGCGGTACTCCGACAGAAGGAACGCCGTCGCACCTTCCGACACTCGCTTGCTGATCACATACACGTTGCGCATCACCTCATCGGTCAGGTGCACGTTGCGCACGCCCTGGTCCTTCCCCGGAGTGATCCTGATCTCCGACACGACGTACCACCAGTACATCGCGAAGGCAAAGCCGAACGCCGCGGAAAACACAATGATAGCGGTTGTGGCCGTGGCACCGATCATGACCGTGGACTTCCCGGTGTTTTTGCTGTTGTCGTTGCTGTTGCGGGCCGCTGACCCCGCCGAGCCGCCCTGCGCGTACGTGATGCTGCTGTTGGTGATGTTCGGGTGTACATCCCCCGCGGCGGCCGCGGCGACAGTGGCGGCGGCGCAGACGAACACCACTGCAGCCCCCAGCAACGCCTTGTTCATGCTGCACACACACACACAGAAACACAGAGATATATAAATATGCACGGAGACGCTCTTTTTTCTGCTTGTTTTATCTCTCTCTTTCTCTCTGTATCTTTCTCTCTCCTTGTCTTCTCTTGCTACTGCTTCTACACTACTCACCCTGTTGATCGCTAGCACAGGATGGGCGTAGAGGCGTGTGGATTGATAGGAATAACTGCGCTGGTGGAAGCGAGAGGGTCGCGCTCACGAGGCCTCACTTCCGCTCCTCCGCTTTGAATCGCTAGTGTGATTGCTACAACCTGTGGCAGGCGGTTCAGCACACACACACACNCACACACACACACACACACACACACACACACGAACAAACAACCAACAAAACAAAGAAAAAAAAAATTGGGGGAAAGGAACCAGAAAACATACAGACAGCACCGATACACACACACACACAGACGCTTGGATGGGGACAGTGACAAAGACAGAGAGAGGGAGAAAATGTGCGGCCCCGTACATCGTACGTTCCCTCGTCGCACGACACGACACAACCCGCACGGGTTCCCTGCGCCCTCCTCTCACTGCAGGGATCGTTATCTGTGTGGCCGGAAGTCGCCCATTCGTTGTTGCTGTTATTTATTTTTTTTTTTTTTTGCTTTTCCCCCGCCAACGATACAATCCACTTCGAAACAGTAGAGCGCACTACGCAATATTATGTCGCTCTTGAATGGCCCCTCCTCGAGTGGCATCGAACATAAAATCATGTGTCTTGTGTGCAGGACAAGCAGCCAAATTCATTTCCTTTTTTTTTTCTTTGGATAACAATAATAATAATAATAATACTGATAATGATGATGATATTGTTGCTGATGTTGGCAATGTTAGTTTCCCTTCATGACGCCCATACACTGAAGAACGTTCACNACGCAATATTATGTCGCTCTTGAATGGCCCCTCCTCGAGTGGCATCGAACATAAAATCATGTGTCTTGTGTGCAGGACAAGCAGCCGAATTCATTTCCTTTTTTTTTTTCTTTGGATAATAATAATAATAATGATACTGATAATGATGATGATATTGTTGCTGATGTTGGCAATGTTAGTTTCCCTTCATGACGCCCATACACTGAAGAACGTTCACTTTATCTTCCTTCGTCCCTTCCCTCGCGCTCTCGCCCCTCAGACTCGTTGACGTTGCATCACACACGGTGATGCGCAACAGGAGGAAACAAACCATAAACTCTTTTTGTTGTTGTTGTTTTTTTCGGAGTGATGTTTTTTTTTTAATGCAGAGACAGCGCACTGAACGAAGAGGCTCTGCAGTCTCTTCGTCGAAAACAATGTGAATCCATTTCTCGTCCTATTCTTTCGCTGCACCATCGGCGTCAGCGTTATCCGCCCTCGTCTCCGGATACGTTTCCACCGTGAGCACGGTGGACTTGCGTGGTGAGAGCGGTGTATAGTTGTTGTTTGTGTTTTTGTTGTTTTTACTTGCATTGGCATTCTTGTGGTTGTTGTTGTCGTCGTCGTCGTTGTCTTTGTTGGGCAGCGCCTCCGGTATGTTCCGACGCGCGCAGCGCAGCGTAATGTAGAGTCGGCGCACATCCTCGAGCGTGTCCCTCAGCCCCTCCAGGTGCTTGCGCTCCTCCATCAGCGTCGTCTCTACCACCGCCGGGTGGACAACCTCTGCTGGAAGCGCCACTGTAGCGGGCAGCAAGTGATACTGCTGTTGCTGTTCTTTCTGATCCGTCAGCGTGGCGCCGGCGGCAACAGCAATTGGAGTCGCACACACCGCCGACTCGCGCGCCTGCAGCTCCATTGGCGGGGGCGGGTGTAATGGCGAAATGTCGTGCTGCTCCGCTCCAGAAGAGAGTCCCTCGGCGCTCTTTGGTGACGCCTCTGCGTCATCGAGGCAGCCGCTGCCCGCCTTCACGAGTCCCCCCTTTTTGGGGCTGCTGCAGTGCTCCATCACACTCGGTAGGGTCTGTGGCGTTGTTGCTTCTGCTGCATTTGCTACTATGCTCGGTTTTGTTGTTGGTGCGCTTGCACGATGCATCATCAGCTTCGCGAGATCCCTCGACTGCTCCTGCAGCATCTCCGTGAGGCTTTCCCGCTGCGTTGGCTGCAGCCGACTCCCACGATGCAGCGCCGGCAGGAGTCCTGTCGCAGGGCCGCTGCCGCCGCCGTC